AAAGAAGGAAGGAACAGAAGCTTGATCACCTCAGGAAGGAGGAGTTGATAAAGAAACTCACAGTTGCTTACACATGAACGAATGTACACTTCGTCTCGTCTCTCTGTTGGCATGTTGCAAAGTAGAAGACATGTCCTCACGAAGCAGATCGAGCGGCAGGAGGGCGACGGAGTACATCGGTGAATGCAGATAGGTAATACAGATCCTCCTCTGTGTGGTTTCATTGTTAGTGGATCTGCTGGTAATGCCTCAGGGCTTCAGTAGGGGCATCACGCTTCTCTTCCTCATAGTTATGGGCAATACAAATGACAGCGGGTGGTGCAGGAGAGGGGGGTGTTTTGGGCATCTTCTTGTTTTTGTTCAACCATTTTCAGGGTGTGTGGATTTTAAATGTTTACAGAGGTTACTCCTGTCACAGCTGTGTGGCACTTCTCAGGTGAAAAGTATCCCCACACCACTCCAGGTTCCCTTTCAGCCGTTCTCCCATCTCTCTCTCTCTCTCTCTCTCTCTCTCACATCCACACTTTGTGCGGAAAAACGCGCGACTGTGTGCGGCTGCGCGCTCGGTTCTCCACAGCCATGTGACACAGACTGTCAGGGCTTATAAATAATTATATTATCGATCATTTATTAAAGGAATCGATACCAAATGAGTAGCTTGTGAGCATCGAAGTATCGATCCGCTACGATCGACACGCCCATCCCTGCTTCCTCATTCAATAAGAGCTGTTACTATTCCCCTTGTTTAAGACACTGCACTGTAAACGTATGAACACATGTTGATAGTAGTTTTCTTAAGTTACTGTGGTTTTATATGAATGAAAGAGACGTTGTTGCACTGATGTGTTTTTTAGAGGATGTCCTGTTTGTTTAAGGCTGTTACTGTTACATCCATATATTTGTGCTGTAAGGTTCAAGTGTATATTTACCACTGAAGGAGCCTTGGTTCATGTCGTGGAAGTGGAAGTTAAAGAAACATTTCATAATAAAAATGTCATGTGATAGCTTAGTTAAAAATATAATGTAAACACCATGTGGTTTGGTTAAAAAGATAATTTAAAACATGTTAAAACGACACTTGTGGTAACTGTGGTCCTGAAACTGAATGTGTGCATACGTGAACATACACCGATCAGCCGTATATTATGACCACCTGGCCTCATAATGTTATGCAGCCATATACGCAACAAACTGTGATGCACTGTGTGTTCTGACCCCTTTCTATCAGATCCAGCAGTAACTTTTTCAGCAGTTTGAGCTACAGTAGCTCGTCTGTTGGATCAGACCACACGGGCCAGCCTTTGAAAAACAGCCAAAACACAGTCTGAATTTTTTTCTTCTTTCCTGTGTATTAACACATTAGCTCTGGTGTGATAACACTGTCCAATTCTTGCTATCACAGCAACACATCTGGTAACAGGAACTGAAAAAACCTGTTAATCTTCTACTACTCATGCTGATATGCATTGGTTTGGCATGTTTATTCTCGGGCTCCATTCATCTGTACAGCACAATTGATTAAAACAAAGGCAACAGTTTATTTCACTGTTTTTGATTCTATTTTCCCCCCATGCATACGATATCTTATCTTAGTTATTGTTGTAACATGAGTAAAAACAAAGTCATCTCAAATTACAGATATCTTTACTCAGTCTTACAAGGTGACAAGGCTGCAGTCCACAGGCCACATAGAGAAAAAAAATGATAACATGGCAGGTGGTATTACAAAAGTGGCACTGCACACGAGTCTGAAAGTCATTTTGAATTGATGTTTTGTTTAGCATGGGTAACTTCATTATACTAATTAAAAAACACCACATAGGTACAAGTTAAATAGATAGCCAATTCATTTCACTTTTTATTTCTGATACAATCATTGCAGTGTGTGTGGCTGTGTGGGTCTATGTGTCCTAGGTGCACCGCTGAATAACATGAGAAAGACATAAG